CGACATTGTAATAGATTTTTATCCTTACTGTTTGAAGAGCAAGAACTTCTCATACCATGAAATCCAATAGTTTCTGTAAAGATTATTATAAGGTAAGGGCCTTCCGAGAGCTTTTGGCATTCTCGTAGATCTGCTTGTGTGAAGGGCGTAGAGATTTTGTAGGTAGTACGGATTCAGATTCAGATTTCAAGATTCAGATTTGAGATTATGACTATGCTTTGAAATATTTTTGATATAAACCTATTTTTGCATTAGTAACACAGTATATACCACAAAGCATTTGTAGTAGCTAAAATTCTAGGATCTTAAAGTACTCTGTTTCGAATATAACGTGTTACATGTTGCTTATAAATAAAATATAAGCTGTGTTTTATATATATATATATATATATATATATATATATACGTCGTATATTTAAGAAATATTAATAATTAAAATATGGAAAACTCCGTCGAAACGTGTCAGACTGTAGCAACCCTACTGTAGTGAGAAATATATGATTCGCAATAAATAAGATTTTATCACATAATAACTATCAAAATTATAGTATCAGAACGCGGCGGCGTCAACGACTTTTCGTCCGTTCGTAGTGTCGTATAATTGGATTGTGTCTGTACGAACATTTTGATTGCCGATAAAATGGCACTGAGGGTGAAATAATAGGTTTCTATATGAGAAAGTCTCTAAGTTGAAAAATTTATGAAAATACTTCATATTAAATGTAATTACAGCTAATAATTTTGAAAAAATAATTATATTTTATTAATTCAATACAATCATATATAAAACACACCTAGGTTTATAATTTTTCTCCACCTGAACGGTTCTGTGGGGTCAGATAGTTCATAGCTATATTGGTTTATGTAAGGGTATAATTGGTCCCGGTGATACTGTTGCATAGATCCAACAATTTTTTTAAATCTCGCAAATAAATTGAAATTTGGGCAGAACAACGTCTGATGAATTAGCTAGTATAGTTTTAAAACATCAAAATGTATGATGTAATGTTACTTTATATTTTGTGTTAGTTCGGTACTTGCTTTACGGATTTTCATACTGTTTTCACCGATAGGAAGAAGGATTCTCTAAGAAGGTTAGTGTCTCTAGTTGTGCTATAATTTTTAATATATTGCGATAATAGATTGCCGATATGACGATATTTGTATTTTAGGTAGTAAAAATGGCCCTTCTGAGAACTTTTATAGCCAAGCGAGAGTGGTCACTATTAAGAATGTAAAACTAAGTCACTTATTCATCGTACTGAATTATAAATTTATAATAATTAATGTCAAAACAAATCAAATTGTACTTTTTTTGGTTGACAACCCTCCAGCAAATTCGAATTTTGCATGAATTTTTAGGCACCCTATATTAGCTAAATTGTAATATAATTTACTAGAAATAGAAGATACAAACAATTTGTATCAAAGGCTGAAAGCTATCTTCTAAAGAAATACATTTTGATTACTTGAGGATAAATAACAAATGGCATTGTACTTGATTTCATTGCTCTTTAAGAATAGGTTATTCAAAGAGTTTGTTAAGATATTATAGTTGATTGTGAATGTTTGTTATACTATTGTTAAAAATTCTATTATATTTATTAATTATTATTAGTATAAATTTCGCAGAGTTGAGATATTTTCTCGCAGTAAAGAGTATCCTATATGTTGACCCGGATAACCAGCTATCATCATACCAAATTTCATCAAAATCTATCCTGTGATTTTCTCGTGATGCGTTCCGAGACAGACAAACAAAAATTCTAAAAACTATAGATTCGCCCTTTGTATTGATAATAAGGACTTTTTCATTAAGATTTAGCAAAAAATATTTAATGTACATATTCTATTCAGAATTTTTACTGCGGGAAAATATCTCATCACCGAGCTAAACGTTAAAACGTAACTAGGGATGAACCCGAGCGGAGCGAGAGTCAGTCGCTAGTATTTTTATAAGGGTAGTACTTTGAAATAGCTATAAATATGAAGAGCTAAACTCTAAATTATTCTCACGTCGGTGTAAAAAATGTAATGTTCTATATGGTTATCTCGCACGTTTCGCTTTTTGGTAACACACATGGGTGTAGGCAAAGTTTACTGGGGGTTAGTGTGACGCATGAGGAATAAATTACTTGTGCTCGATGTTTGTCGCCCTGTCAAAGTTCAACACCCTCGATTGTATGTATTGCATAACTTTAGGGTGTAAAATAATATTATTGTTTAGAAAGTTTATTTTTATAGAATGGTATTTTAGTATTTTATTCGCTCGAATCGTGTTATGTTCTTATTTTGCTTAGCATTTTCATTTCCTACTGTAATCCACCAAACAATAAGATATAATATATTTTTTGTTCTTTTTTTTTAATTATAAATAGTGAAATATTATGATTTAGGTAATTTTTTTAATGAATTCTGGTTATTTATACATTACTAGCGTCTCACCCTCGCTTCGCTCGGGTTATTTTCACTCTTTTAAGGGATGATTTCCGGGACAAAAATATCTTATCGACTGGTCCTACGTATACTAGTACAAGTGCAAAAAAGCAACTTTACAGGAGAGCGATTCAAACATTCTAAAGCTTGTAACTTTGACATAGTTCAACAGAAATCTTTGAAATTTTGAAATGTAATACCTGAGTCTTATAGGAAAAGGGCTGTGTAATTAAATTTTAATATTTTTTGTTATTTTAGAAAATCGTGTCAGTTGTATTTGCGTAGCCTATTCTTCCTTAAATATTAAAACACATAAAGTAGTACAAGTGATCACTTATATCAGTATACGTGTACTAATTTTTTTACAAACCAAGGCAAATAGAAGGACAAATCAATATAACATATGCATATCCGTGGTTACTGATAAATAATTGAAGCTCGTGATATTAAAAATAATGATCTTTATCAATTTTTATCACTTGCACCACTTTACTAAGTACTGAAAACTACTTGTATCACTTTTCTATGTAATACTCTAGTCATAAATTTCATTAGGTTCACGGGAAATAAAACCAAAATATTAAAAAAAAATAAAGGTCTATTACAAATAATATGATAACCAAACAAATTAATGGTTTTACCATTTTGGAACAAAAAATAAAAAAGAAACAATTATTCTTAGGAGGTAGGAACTATCGTCAACTGTAATATGAGGTACCTAGTTATTAGGGCAGTAAATATTTATTAGTATTTAATTAGTCTTCCAAATATTATTAATATCTAGTAACAAAGTTATTAAAAATATAAAAAGAAACAAACGCATTTTCTAAATAATCAAAATAAAACTTTATTATTTTACTAAAACGAAAAGAAAACCAAGTCCTTCTTAAGTAGGAACGATCGTTAAATTAATTATTCATTTAGTAACTCTTTAATTATTGGCTTTTCTGGCTAATTAAAATAAAATATCGCTTAGTCACCTAATTAAGTAAAATAAAACAACAATCGAAGCGGTGGTAGGAATAAAATACAAAAAAGAGAAAGGCTGATAAATATAGCCTAGTCAGATAGGTCTCCACTATTCTCGGATCTAATTTTCAAATTCTTATAATATAAATGCTATCGCTCAGGGATTACAGTCGAAATACAAAGATCTTAAAGATCTTTGCATTTTTTTATCAATTGCTAATAAGCTTTTGTAAGCTACATCTAAACTATCAAATTTTTTAGTAACATTTTGTATGGCGGTTCGTGTGTTACTTCTTACACATTGTGTAGTTTTATAGGCATCTTTTTCAAAAGTATATTTGTAATTGAGCTTAAATAAATCTTTGGCCTGAACATTAACCTCACAAATTTTATTCCACATCACCAGCTCTCCAATACAGTTCTTCTTCCAGTTATCAAAAAAGGTAATACACGACTTAAAATCAAAAATTAAAGATTGAGTAACTTCTTTTACTACGTATGGTTTTGCATTAGCAGTGGCCATTTTGAAGGCAAGAGACCATTGATCTGGAGTATAAATCAAAACATTTCTGGTTTTATTTTCTATTACGGAGTGAATACTGTTACCCTCGTTCTGGATGTGACCAACAACAAGAAATCTATTAGTAATATTCACGTTAAATTTCCAAGAGAAGAACCATTCTATTTCTATTCTGGCCTCCACAATTTTCAGACCAGAATATAAAACTTTTAACTCCTTCCCTCACCCTCATACCAATAAAATCAAAAACACATACAGCTCCTTTTTTCGCAATTTGTTAATCCCAACAATAACAATACCCTTGCAGATCACCCGTGTCAAATGGGGTAAAATTATGAAAATGTAATTTTCTCTTATAATAAAATATGCTAACATTGCCATGTGGTAAGCTTTGTATTTTTTTCAAATCGAAAGTAACAGCGACTACAGTTTTATCATCCTTAGATATTTTTTGTCCAAAAATTGTTAAATATATCGTACCTTGCCATTTCTTCCACTTTATCAGCATATTTTCTAGGATATTTACTAGGAGCTTTCATTTCTTTCTGTTTAGTTATTTATCCAGTCCTACTTATATATTCTAAGCCTCTGTTTTTGTTTTTAAGTTGTATTTTCGTTTCTCATCTAGCCACCTGCTTTGGTATCTTTCTCGTAATCTGCCCTTATCTTTCTTTTTTTGTTTTTTTGTCTTTACATTTGTCGCACTACTTAGCGGTGTATCAGTGTAATCTGAATTTAAAGGAAAACAATCAAACTCGCTTTCAGTTTGTTGATAGGCTGATGAAAAAGAAACTGATGGTAAAGTTATAGGTGTGAAGCTCTCAATATCATGTTCAGGAAGTTTTTTCTGCTTAGAAAAGAAGAAGAAGATAAAAGCTGTGGTTCACGCTTTCTTTCTTGTGTATTATGAACGATCACACAAACTTCCTGGTCCTTAAAACATGTAGTAGAACTCTCAGAATCTGACGAATTGTTTGATAAATTTCGATATAAATTTTCAACTGTTGGTGTTTCCTCGAAAAAGTCTTCTGGATTGTTTAAATTAACAACAGTATTGATGAACGACATTTCTTCAGTAAATAATTCCGCACTCGGAGGGAAGGGAGAATCTAAAAAACATATGATATAAATGCATTTAAAATACTAATAATTAGTTTTTAAGGGAAAGTTTTCAGCGTAAATAATACTAGGATTTTGATAATACGTAAATAAAACAAAGTTCTTTAAAAACATATATTTCATAATAATGTAGTTCATTCCTAACATTTACTTAATGTTGTAAAATATTTATGTATTTTAATTGAATCCCACTCATGTCAAAAATGTTGGTGACTAATGTAACATATATCATTATACTTATAAAACATTTGCAAAAATCATCAAATCAAGCCGTGTATACTGATATAAATGCAAAATTAGACAAAGGGAATTCACAAACAAAAAAATAACATTTTACATATATAGTATAACATTTTTATCTGGCTTATGTGATAAGTTTTCATTCGCGAATTGTAGATTTTCATTGAAATCAACCGGTTCTGTAATTCGGTACATATTCTTTTTTTCCAAATTTAGCTGTAATTCTTCACAAGGTCTGCATGTTGATAATTTAAGTGGTTCTAAAATCCAAATCAAAAAAATGTATTAATGCATTTAAAAAAAGTTTATACTATAATTAAATAAAAAAAATCACTTGCACCAATATACGCGAGTACACAAAATAGAATACGTACTTTGTCTACTAGTGCAAGTGATAATATAAATAAACTGTACATTATTTAATTTATAAAACAGTCACAAACAATTAAATTAAATCTTAATTAATCATTTCTGTGTTGAAAATAATAAATTGATTCTTACCTTCGAAATTTTCGAGTGTTTTAGTTCTGCTGCATTTTTTTTCTACTAAATGTATCATTTCATAGCTTCCTGATTATTATTTATTATCATAGTAATTCAACATAAACATAAACCTTATAAAAATAAGTAATTTTTAACAATTGCATAAATAAACCTGAAATCATTGCACTTGTACCAATGTAACACGTTAACTCTGTAGCGGCGCCACGTGTATACTGATGTAAAGGTCACTTACACGCTTGTGCCGCGTGGATTGTAACCATCTACATTAGTGCAAGCGACTTGCATCAATGTTGACAGTCGTGTAGTTTAAAATACCGTCACTTGCACCAAATGACAAGTTTGTAACTTTGAAATTTATTGATATTTTAAAATAAATTTCACAGGGTATAAAATATAGGTTATTCTAAAGCTATTGATGCAAAAAAACAGTTTTCATGATTTTGTCGGTTATACTAGTATACGTAGGACCAGTCGTTATGATCTTTCCAGGGTCTCAAAGTATCTTCTTACCAAATTTCATCTAAATCGGTTCAGTAGATCCAGAGATTACCTCCTACAACATCACAAACTCACAAACTTTAGCTCTTTATAATATTAGTATAGAATAGTTACGAGTATTATATTTTGTCAAGATTGTATTTATCAGATATAGTAAAAAAATCAATATAAAGCAATTTAATTTAATTCGTGTGATGCCTTACATATTATCCAAACTATTATGTAAGCAATGGAGCAAGGGTTTGTTTTGCTTACATCCGTTTAACTTTATCGCTAGTTTATAATGTATTTACTGTACGCGTCACAACCAGCCTTCCGACAAGATGCCTATTGGTGGGGTAGCTTTATCAGTCACCGGATGCTGCCGCAACTCCGCAAACTAATTAATGTACTCTATTCACATACCATATATCCTTAAACATTATAAAACAACGTCTCTATAATAATCTCGTCCGTATGTGCGTATAGTTAAACCAAATTTATAGTTCGTGCAATTATTTAATACGAAAATATCATATTATTTGGTCAAGTTGGTCACTATAATAGTTAAACTACACTAGGTTTTCTACAAGGTAGTGGTAGCCCAGTGGTAACACGTTCGCTTGGGAAACAGAGTGAAGCAAGTTCAAATCCAGGATATCGCAAGTCTGATATTTTCATGTACGAACCATATCCAACATGATTACCACTTGTCTTAACGGTAAAGGAAAACATCGTGAGGAAACCTGCATGACTGAAAGAACCTAGCAAGTTTTCAAAAGACATGTGAAGTCCGCCAACCCGCACTTGGCCAGCGTGGTGGATTATGGCCTGATTCCCCTCGTACTGAAGGGAGGCCCGTGCCCAGCAGTGGGACGTTAAAAAGGATATATATATATAGGTTTTCTAAAGTATTTATTAGCATCAATTAAATTCATAAGAAATGAAATAGAAACCGCGTCGTGGTATTAAGGTATATATATATATATATATATATATATATATATATATATATATATATATATATATGTATATTATAAAACTGCGTCGTAGTATTAAACTAATATACCTATATGTATACTGTTAGGTCTGAGTGAAACGAGACTGCTCGCTAGTAACATTCATATATAGTATAGAAATTGACAGGCGCTCTCATTGTTCGATCACATTTAGTTAAGAAAGAATGGCTTTATTTGTAACTTTTCACTTAACGATTCCTCACAAACTGGATCTCATTTTATCAATTGTCAAAGTTTAAAAACTTAATCTACTTAAGGACCCTTTTGAAGAGATCGCATTGCGCATGACGTTAGCCTAGCGGGAAAACCAAGGACATTCAGCGAACGGACCCGGCGCGGGTAGCACGAGTCGCTCCCAACCATTCTGTAATAGAATACGGGTGCGTCCGGTGACTTGTAAACAACGTGTTCGTCAACAGAACTTATTTCAAGTTTCTAGCAATATATATCGTATACTTATTTTGACATATCTGTGGTATAAATCTATCGGATTTTTTCGTTGTGTATTTGATGATTTTTTTTTTTTGATGAAATGAAAATCAGAAAAAGATTTTTTTTGTGAGTTCTTACTGTGACTATGTCATTAACTTGACAGATGTGCTGGTGAAGTAGAACGATAGATATTATGTAATGCGATCAGTGCTTCAAAGCGTGACAATGAAGTTTTTAACACTCTTAGCGCTGTGCGGTAAGTACCTTATTAAAGAGTAAGCGCATATAATGTGAAACTTTTGAAATTAAAAATTAATACTTTCTTAATTTTGTGCACTATATTGTATAAAATTTATATACTACACTATAGTGTATAATGAAAGAAAGTAACGTAACGAAGGCCAATGCTTAAATTATTATCATTAAGTTTTTATCAATTCTACTTTTAAAGAAATTATGACAAATATATTTTTTTATTTCCAAAAAATAAATTACAAATATACTTAATTATATATAGAAAACATATGTACACTTAGTTATTACTGTACAAGTCATGTCCGCGTGGAATAGTGGCAAGAATGCTTGCCGCATTACAAATAACACAAAAATAAATATTGAACTAATATTTAAATTATTTATTACTAGCGGCTTACAATCGCTTCGCTTGGGTTTGCCTTTAGAAAAACAGAGACAAATCTATCCCACGGGAACTGTATATTTTTCTCGAATAAAAAGAAGAATACGTGCTATTCCCAGAGTATAATCTATCTCTGTGTCAAATTTATTCTAGATCCGTTCAGCCGTTCTGGCGTGATTGAGTAACAAACATCCATACATCCATCTAAATTCTAAACTTTCACATTTATAATAAGTAAGATTATAGCTAATAATGAGACCGAATTTTGTTGATACTAATAAAAATTTAAGCTTTTTGATAGAATAATTTATATTTTTATATTATTAATGTCATTATATTATAATGAAAATTATGTTATTAAAAACAATGAATCTTTTTTATAATTATATCCGCAATGAGAGATAAACTTATCATATTTACAAACAGGACGGGCATTTATGGCTCATTGCATATATTATGTACCTATATTTAAGCATATCTAAAAATATAATTTTATCTGTAACCAAAATTATGATGACAAAAACTTGCTTTTACTATGAAATATATATTGATGGAATGAAATACTTATGAAATAACAAAAGACAAACAAATCACGACATTAATGACATTGAAAAAAAAAACTAAAAACCATTTCTTCCGTAAAGTACATAAAAGCAACGGTCAAAAATATTTCATATCAAATTTATCCGTTTCCTCTATACGGTTCATTTAAATATTTACGAGGAAAATGTGTTTACGCGTGTTTATGAAACGTGTTTTCACAACTTGTTTCACAAATATCAATACCTTTGCCGTAAAAATATTAGCTTAAGTTAAAATATAATAAAATCATATTCAAGTCAATAATCACAATTTTTTATTATTTTATTGTATTAATCCCTCAACGACCGCGGACACGCCGGCGCGGCGTTACAGTTAACAATAGATTTCTTAGAAATTTAATTATTTTCTTAGAAATTTACCTGGAGGTGTCAAGTAATTTTTGATTTATGATATAATATAAGCAGTCGAAGCTAAACATGTGTACTATGGACATAAACACTACATGAACTTTACGTAAGTACTTCGTTTCGACGTCTAAAATATCGCTTCGTATGGTAAAATTAATTTACTTATCGTTTAAGACTGCAGCCGTATATAAGACAAAATTCATATGAAGTATACACATGAAATGTTAATTCTAAACAATAATAAAAAAAACCATTTGGTCTTAATAATATTATTTAAAAAATTTAAATATATTTCTTTACTTTTACCTTGGGAAAAGATATGATCACATATTAAGCTCCTTCCATGTTAAATAAAAGTTGAATGCCTAGTACAATTTTAGGTAAAAAAAATAATAGTATCATTAAGTATCTTTCGCTAGTATTTAGTGATGAATTCTTTATGCCAATCAACTTACGGAAAACTTTCACAAGAAAAGCTTTGATGTTGAATTCCCCATATATACCTTCCAGTTAAATATTTTTAAGGTATATATTATGTAACATTTAACTTAAATAAATTGTATACGACGTAAATTCGCTAATGTGAAACTTAGGTAAGTCCAAAGCCAACCCTATTCTAAAAATAGAAACACATTTCTAAGATTAAAAGTACGAGGTCGTGGTACAATGATTTATTTGTCTATAATTTTTGTCAAGTACAAGTTATATCTGAGCCAAACAGCGAAACAGATGTAAAGTTTTAATGGAACCGTTCATAAAATAAGATTCTTTACTGTATGTACCTACTCCTCTGCCAGAACTCGGAAAAATGGAGCGCATTCATTTGAAACTTGCAACTTATCATTTTATATTAAAATATAAGTTTATGACGGGTAGCTTTTATTTTGACTGGGTTTTAATTGTGCTATGCCGATAGAGCTTAAAAGCTTAAAAGTTGGTTATTTCAAAATACGTTTTATGTTTTAGCTATACAAAAATTTTGATATAATTATGAATATAAATACCTATACTTATTCATTTGAAAACGTTATGTTTGTTAATTCTACCATTTTTTACTTGAGTTGCATAAACCAATGTTAAAGCCATAAAAATATCTGGGCATTGGCCCAGATATTTTATAAATGGCCGGAGTCTTTTATAAATGTCTGACGTAGCGTCAAGCGTCAACTGACTGGATATTACGGCAAGTGTTTTAAAAATGGTATCTCAGGCTTCTAAGGGCAGTCACCGTATATATATATATATATATATATATATATATATATATATATATATATATATATATATATATGTAACAACAATATTTATAATATACATATAATCTATATACCTAAATAAAAATTTATCACCGAAATGTATGTACTCACATAACTTCGGATCGACTGACCAAACTGGATAATTTTTTCGTGTTTGTTATTGTCAGGACGAGCTTTGTAAAGAAGAAAATGAAAAAATATTTTTTTTTTGGAAAATCTTATTGAAATAAACATTATTACCGAGGCGGAGGCCGAATCTATAGTTTTTATAATTTTTGTCTGTCTGTCTCTCTGTCTGTCTATTACCACATCACGAAAAAACCACTTTACAGATTTTGCTGAAATTTAGTATGATGATACCTGGTTATCTGGGTCTACAAATATGATACTTTTTGTTGCGGGATTATATCTCATCTCTTAGCTTAACGTTAAAACCTAACATTAGTCAAATAGTCATAATATGCCATACTTATATTATTTTATTTAGTTTTCCATCGACGTAAATGATTGTAGTAAGTTATTTTTCTATTGATTGCGTACCTATAAAGTTTTAGTAATAAACTATAGCACCCATAGCGTAACGGCGCACAATGTCTATAGTGTTTGTAATGGGCCACGGCCAGTTAGAGTTATAATATTTTATGTTTATAACATAACAAATATATATATATATATATATATATATATATATATATACATATTTATCAATAGAATTGTATAAAGAAAGGATAGAGTTGGCTTAAGCTTAATACTGGAGTCCTCCCAACGTGCGTTCACCTTGTCGTGGTGGGGGGGCTCATTAACGTCCGGCAGTTCAGCCGGGTGCGAAGCCAAGAGACGCACAGGCAGTACATATACATATAATAGTAGTCTATGTGCACAGGGACGTGGCTTGTATCGGTGGGCGGTGTACCATGCGGGTTGCTTCTGGCACTTCTCTGATAGCAGAGTAGTCTCTTGGAACAACCCCATGGTTGTTGTGGTCTGCTTCGACAGACCTGCCGTCGGAGCGTCGTAGTTGAGTGCACAAGCGATCATGGGAAGCCCCATTAAGACAGGGGAGGCTTAGATGGGTTTTAGTGGGTAGTAATGGGTTTTCTAGCCGGTGAGTCCCACATAACCGCCTGTATTGTCTATAGATTGCATAATTGCATTTCCCAACATAAAAAAAAGCTCAGTACTACTACCGACCGATCTTTTGAGTACAAAATCCTGAAAATCGAGTGAATTTTATAATCTTACTAGCCCTTATTTAAAATATACTGTTTTTATTATTATTATTATTAACATTTTTGTAGATTGTCCTAATATTCGTAGTCATAGATTGAATTATTTGATTACTATCGAATTTATTGATGACAAGATTAAAAAAATGTTACTATAGTAATCATAAAAACATTACAGATATAAATTCGTATAATACATACAAATAAACTACTATACTAATTTGGTTATATTCCCTTAAGCAATTCTAAAAAGTAGATAGAAAACTCTATATGGATTCTCGTTTGACATCCTTTCCTCTATAAAATGTGCAGATGAAATATACTTGAAAAATCTTCTGTCTTCATTTTTACGATTACAAAAACTGGAAATCAAACATTGACTCCACGCGGAAATCGAATCTACGGACCTTTGGCGTAACATACAATGCTACTTGGCCAATTACTCTACTGCGTCAAAATATATATTCTAATTTATTGAGCTGAACACGCTGCTCTGAGTTTCAGATAATTTAAGCAAAATCGCACAACCAGTGGTAGATTAATATTCAGTGACTATATTCAAGAAGTTTGCGTTGTTTGGCGTAGTTGCGAAGCAAACATGAAAATTGTTAGGTAGCATGTAAAGTTAAAATTGATATCTAGACTTTTACTGGTATAATTTTTACTTTCATCCGCTATTTTACTCCCTTATGTGATGAATTTCGGAAAATGCTAAAACAAGTAATTAATTAATTGTATTAAAGAGCATTTATATTAAGTTCTGATCATAAATATTTTTTTGGATTGTATTATAATGTGTTTTTCCGTGGGAAAAAGATAATTTTCCGTGGTCAAAAGTAGCCTATGTCACTCTCCAGCTCTCCAACTATGTCCACACAAAAAATCACGCCAATCCGCCAAGTCGTTTCGACGTGAAAGAAAGACAAACAAACAAACACAATTTCACATTTATAATATTAGTGTATGGATATGGATTTTAGCCAGTAGCTTCAAAGCAAATACAATTACAATGATAGTACGTATAATTGTTAAAAACATCGCGTTCAAATTAATTCATTAGTGATATATAAAAGGAAATTTTTTGTAGTTGTTAGTTATCGAACTTTATTAAATTAATTGTTGCATAAAGTAAATATTTGGTTTCAATTTATTGTTCTAATTGAAACCAGAGATCAGTTATAAAATAA